TCTGAAAAGAGGTTAAGTAACACTAACTGATGCAAAAAACCTCAAGGTGATTGCTTAACTGTACAAAAAGATATAGGAGAGTAAAGTTTATAAAAATTCAGTTTTTTTCTGGTCAAATGCTTTTCGTGTTGCACTAGAATCGCTAATACAGGCATATACACAAACGTACATATAATGACTTACGGGTGGGTCAGCACCGCTCCAGAGGTCCAACAGAACACAAACAAACATAATAACATACAGGTAAATTAACACAAACATATATATAATGACTAACGGGTGGGTCAGCACCACTCCAGAGGTCCAACAGAACATAAACAAATATACTAACAAACAGGTACATTAAAACAAACATACATATAATGACTTACGGGTGGTTCAGCACCGCTCCAGAGGTCCAACAGAACACAAACAAACATAATAACATACAGGTACATTAAAACAAACATACATATAATGACTTACGGGTGGGTCAGCACCGCTCCAGAGGTCCAACAGAACACAAACAAACATAATAACATACAGGTACATTAACACAAACATACATATAATGACTTACGGGTGGTTCAGCACCGCTCCAGAGGTCCAACAGAACACACACAAACACATAATAACATACAGGTACATTAACACAAACATACATATAATGACTTACGGGTGGTTCAGCACCGCTCCAGAGGTCCAACAGAACACAAACAAACATAATAACATACAGGTAAATTAACACAAACATATATATAATGACTAACGGGTGGGTCAGCACCACTCCAGAGGTCCAACAGAACATAAACAAATATACTAACAAACAGGTACATTAAAACAAACATACATATAATGACTTACGGGTGGTTCAGCACCGCTCCAGAGGTCCAACAGAACACAAACAAACATAATAACATACAGGTACATTAAAACAAACATACATATAATGACTTACGGGTGGGTCAGCACCGCTCCAGAGGTCCAACAGAACACAAACAAACATAATAACATACAGGTACATTAACACAAACATACATATAATGACTTACGGGTGGTTCAGCACCGCTCCAGAGGTCCAACAGAACACACACAAACACATAATAACATACAGGTACATTAACACAAACATACATATAATGACTTACGGGTGGTTCAGCACCGCTCCAGAGGTCCAACAGAACACAAACAAACATAATAACATACAGGTACATTAAAAAAACATACATATAATGACTTACGGGTGGGTCAGCACCGCTCCAGAGGTCCAACAGAACACAAACAAACATAATTACATACAGGTACATTAACACAAACATACATATAATGACTTACGGGTGGTTCAGCACCGCTCCAGAGGTCCAACAGAACACAAACAAACACATAACATCCAGGCACATAAACACAAACATACATATATTGACTTGCTGGTGGATCAGCACCGCTCGAGAGGTCCAACAGAATACAAACAAATACATAATAACTTACAGGTACATAAAAAACAAACATACAAATTGAAAAAAATATAACAGGGTTGCCACTATAATTTTTTAAATTTTTTTCCTGAGTATTCCCTGAGTAAAGAACGTTTTCCCCTGAGTTGAACTCTTTAAGTTCCCTGAGTTTTTCTGACCTTTCTATATTCTTTCCTGTTCATCAACAAGATTATTATTTTCATTAATTAAACACAATCTTTATATTTGAAAAACTAAAACTTGACCTCACAAAAAGGTATCTTTCGTTTACAACATTTTTACTTTTTAATTTTGCATGAAACATCTTGAAATATTAAACTTATTCATGGCGTTTTCTAAAGCGTTAATAGGATCAGAAAATCTTGTGAAAAAATGCTCTATAAGTTCATTTGTATTAATTTTATATGACTCCCCATCAAATATAACCCACCTAAAAAGAAAATTTCTTTCCAAGTAATCATTTAAATGATCAAAAAGATTATCATAGTGTTCCAAAAAGCTAAGGACTAGCCATTTATCAATACAAAGATTACCATGACTTTCTCGAAATACTATGTTAAAACCCTCTATATTTTTAAAATATAAAAGTGTATTATAACATAGAACACAAGTTTTTTTTGAAGTTGCAATATAACATTTCATTTTTTTAAATTCACGTTTTTCTGCTTCACTTTTTTCGTTATACATACTTACAATATACTCCATAATTTTCATTTCTGCATGAGCATCTTCTTTAATCTTTGAAAATTCAATTTTCAAATATTTATAACTTTCATTACTTTCTATTATTTTTCTAATCTTTTTTTCATCTTGCTCTGTTATGGCACAGTTGAATGCAATTATCAACTTTTCATCAACTTTACCTATAGCAGCAACACATATCCTTTTCTTATTTTCTTTTAACAAACACTCGGCTGTATTGATTAATTTAGTAAGATCGTTGTCATTTATGTTTTCAAGATCACTATTTTTTTCTAACGTTTTTGAGACTTTTTTTTCCAATGATGAGAATTTATTATTATTTAAAAACGGCTTCATTACTTGACAATATTTTCTAAATTTTAAATATTGCCTCTCAGGGTGATAACATTGGTTATTGCTATTTTGTTTTAATAAATTATAGCTACTATTTTTCTCTTCGTTTTCTTTGCCATCTTTACCTGAACTATCATATTTTAAAAGTGATAAATCGCAACTTTCATTTAAATGGCGTTCTTTTTCATTCACACTAAATTCATTTACTTCTGTTTGAAGATCATAATTATCAGTCACTCCGTAACTTTCTTCAATACTAATCTCCATACTTTGAGGTTTTTATCGTAATTATTTTTGAGGTAATTATCGTTTTTATTTATCGTAATTATTGTTTTATCTTTGAGGTTTTCTTATCGTAACAAACTGGGTTTTCTAGTTATTTTTTAAATTGATACGTAGTAAATAGCCACTCAAAAAAAGCTGAAATTTCCCGAGAAATTTTTCGAGGGAAATTTCCCGTTTTAGGGATCGTCCATAAATTACGTAACGCAAAATTTGACAATAAACAAAACAAAAAAGATCAAAAGTTTTCTCTCGCAGAGTCTTAACTTAAATAAATAATCAAAATAGGAAATAGACTGATCCCGAATTCCAATGATGTAATGTTACGGCATCCTGAAGACGAGGCGAACCATGACAAAAATTAAAAAAAAATATTTGTTATTAAAATTTATTAAACGATGTCGACTGCTAATTTAGAAGATATTTTAAATGCCGAAGAAGTTATTCCTATTGTTTTATTACAGGGTTTATCTGAAAATGTTTGCTCAGAAGAAATCAATGTTAATATACCTTATAAAGTTACTAAGATAGATCTAAAGTATCAGGTACATAACAAATGGGGGAAAAGCTTGATAGAAATGCCCTTATTTACAATTAATAACATTCAAAATCATCGCAAACTAAGTGGTAAATCAAAAGGATTATCTATTAAAAAAACACTCTTAAGAGGTAAAAAATTCCAAGAGGAGCGGTATATTTCATCGGATTCAATATTTACATATTCTGCAAACAATGTATTTAAAACTAAAGGATTATGTAGAGCTAGCATGAAAAAAGATATATGGGAAGTTACTGTCCACATATCACAAAATTCGTCCCAAGTTATCTATGCTTGCTGTTCTTGTCCAGCAGGAATGAGTGGATATTGTAACCATGTAATGGCTTTGTTGTTAGAATTAGCAGATTACTCTACAAAATTTTTAAAAAAAGTCCCTACTGAAATATCTTGTACAAGTAAACAACGACAATGGGGTGTTCCTGGTGGAAAAAAAAGATACAAAGCTCCTATAATGAGTTCAGTTGTTAAGAAGGAAAATAATAAGCGTGGTATAAAGTCTACATTGTATGACCCTAGACTTCTTTTCAATGAACAATATATGAACTTAAAAGTTTTAGAAATTCAAAAAAAACTTATTGAAGTTAACTACAAAATTGGATTTGCCCATGTTGTACCACCCATTCACACTTACAAATATGTCAATACAAGATTTGGTCAATTTCCAACAGGCTCACCTCTAAGTATGCACTTGCAAGTTGTGGAACCACATTTTGAAATATTATCAAATATACAAGAACTACCTAAACACAAAACTGATATTCAAGAACCCAAAATAGAATTTGAATATTTACCTTTAAAAGAATTAAGTGATGACTATAATGACATCGTTCCAGATTGTATATTTTCTTTTGAAAAAAAAAATTATTTAAAAAAAATAGAAGTTACATACTTAGAGGCTAAAAATATTGAAAAGGCAACAGTTTTACAAAATTTTTCGGATAAGTGGTTTGCCTTACGAAGAAACAAAATTACTTCAAGCAACGCTCATAAAGTATATATTAAAACTAAAAACTTTGACAGTCTTATCACCATATTTACACAAAAACTTAATTTAATTGATTCTAAACTTTTTCAAAAAGCTATAAAACATGGTAAAGACTTTGAACCTATTGCCAGGGAAACTTATATCGATGTTATGAAATATAAACTTAATCATTCTATAAAATGCAGAGAAACAGGGATTGTTATACAGCCTAAACTACCATGGCTTGCAGCATCACCTGATGGTATGTTAATTAACGGAGAATTAAACAATGAATTTGGATTGATAGAAATAAAATGCCCTTGGTCAAAAAGAAATCGTACCCCAAAAGAATTAGTACTCGACGAATCTTTTTATGTTAAAATGAAAAATGATAAACCAGTCTTGAGAAAAAAAATTGTAAACGGCTACTACACTCAAATACAAATGGCTCTAGGAATATCACAAGTAACATTTTGTGATTTCATTGTTTATACGTTTAAAGGATGCATTATTATTCGAATTCCTTTTGATATAATGTACTTTAATGATGTTGTAAATAAACTTAACTTATTTTATATCAAATATCTTTTACCTGCTATTGTTGAACTTGAGACAAGTCAAATTGAACAATAAATTATAATACAAATAAAAAATTGCATTTTTAAAAAGTAGATCGTTAGTAAAAAATATATTCTTTTTGTTAATATCATGTAGTTTTTTCTGTATCATTTATTAAGGGTGACTGGAAGTTTGTAAGTAGACAAATAACCGTCCAAATCTGATTGACTGAACCATGTAAAGATAGTGTTATTTCATTACGTATTATTTTATATCGCTTTATTTTTTGGATAGCACGCTCTATATGTATTCGTACAGATGCAATAGTTTGGCTTTCTTTAACCTCAGCCAATGTAAATTGGTTTCGACCTTCTAAAAATGAAGGAATGTTTAGACGTACATTGATGTTTTCTAATTCCTCTTCAATTGTAAACCCTCTATCTGCAATTACTGAATCATCTTTATCCCAAAGATCTTTATTTAAAAATCCGCTTCTTATTACTATTTCTTTATCTGATACTGATCCAGGATACAACTGACTTACAAATATTATAGCACCAGAAGGAGATATACCTAGTAATCCCTTGTATGTAACATGACTTTTGTAACTTGAATACAAACAACTCTGAATATTTAAGGATGATGGTATTTGACAAAACAACTCAGTGCAATCAATAATGCATCTTGTACTTGGGTATGTTATTTTAAAACATTCAGGCATTGTCAAATCAATTTGTTCTCTGGAAGGCCAAATAGGTATCCTACCAAGTGTAAAATACAAATAGTTAATCCATGATATTATCTGTCTTGATATTGTTGATTTTGGCAACTTAAACAACCATCCAATATGAGAAAGTGCAAATCCATTTTTTAAATAAACAAGAGTCATAAAAAACTGATCAAGTGCACATAATTTTGGTTTCGGACCTTTTTTTGGCATCGATTCTATGTTGCTGTGTTTTTGTTTTTTTTCAATACTTGACTGAGAATCATAAAATTTTAAAAACTCACAGTTTTCACCTGGGTCCACCAAAAAAAATACATCATTGAACCTGTCTAATTCTAAACCAGTAAAAGATTTGAACAACTTTGGCTCAGTAGAAATATTTTTATAATTGAATTCGTTTTGTTTTTTACTTTCAATCTCCTTATTAATCTTGGAGTTCATTATTGTTAATGTTAGGTTTTCATTTTTAAGGAAATCGTTTTCTTTTTTAAGTTGCTCTTACTGCTCTTTTAAATGTTGACAATTTTCACAAGCAACGTTTTCTTTGGGATGCTCGATATGAAAATTTATATCTGTTTCTATATTAGAACAAGGTCCACTTTCTAAAGCTTCTGTTGTTATATTGCAAGGTAATTTTTTTTTTTGAAATTTTTCTATTTTTTTTAATAATGTTTTCTTTAAAAACAAAAATAGACGGTATAGCATCTTTATGAAGTGTTTTTCTTCCAGAACAAGGTTTTAAGATAATATCACTTATATTAAAATGAAATTCGCAGACTAAGGTATACTTCTTTTTAACATTAAAGTTATCTACTCCTCCTTGTCGTCGAATGCTATTAAATACATTAATCCACTTTTTTAACAATTGAGGGTTGCTTTTAGGAAAAGTGAATAAACCAATATTTGTTTTATTTTTATGCTTGTCATATCTAGCATTTTTACACATTGGTACACAGCAGTATTGACCCCTACCACCACTTTCCAGCTGCCTAGGACGAGTTTCAGATGAACCAATATAAACATCCTCTTCTGCAACTGCAACACTTATATCCATATTTTTTAATTTCTTTTTTTTTTAATAAAAAGACAATATATATATAATAAAATATTTAACAACGTTTTTCAAAGCAACTAACTTTTTTGTAAATAAAATGTAAATAGCATCGAAAACAAAAAAAGTTTAAAAATGTTTTTTTTTTAAATTTTATATTTTGTCATGGTTCGCCTCGTCTTCAGGATGCCGTAACATTACATCATTGGAATTCGGGATCAGTCTATTAAGTTAAATGAAAATCGCCGCGTAAAAGAGCCTAATATCTTCTTAAGTAATTTTTTGCGTTGCGTAATTTATGGACGATCCCTTATGGGAAAATTGATAGAACTTTTCATAACGCATTCCGCGAAAACGAGGCAGTGTTTGTAACAATCAAAACAAATCGACGATGTTTAATAATGGCGAAATTGTCTGGGCTGCAATGTGCCTTTTTCCAAATGTTTTTCAAATAGCTATGATATATAATGTAGATGGAATTAGAGTTCCAACAAATATTATATTTTTCACATTTTTAACTGTAGAAAGAAATATTTGGTGTAACTTAATAAAAAGATAAGGAAATAAAGATAATTTAAAGACAACAAATCTACTTGATGAGTAGAGATGGTCGGACTGATTGACGTTTTTCTGTTCGCCCGTGTTCGTACGGTCCAAACCACCGAACCGGTCGAACACGAGCAACAGTAGTTTTGTCAAACAACCCGGATAACTCGGACACTCCAAACACCGGACAGAAAAACTAATGTTGAACCGAACACCGGTTGATCACCGAACAGTCATTGAACTAAAAATCTCGAACGCAGTTGGACGTCGAACATGCAAAAAAATGAAAAATATAAAATGACACAAGAATCGGACAATTTTTCATATTTACAGGTTCGTAGTAATTTCTAGTACAGATTTAAGTGCAGTATATACAGCCTGTATAATACAGGTAGTAAATTAAAAAAAAAAAGTTCTGTAAGTTTTCAATAAGTTTTCTTAGTGTTTGTCCCTGGCATTGAAATGGGAATTTTGCAGTTCCTTGTCCATTCAAAGTCGCATCAAGGCTTCAATTGTTTCTGGTGCAAGATTGGCTCTCCTGTCATTAGTAATCAGCTTTGCAATGGAATTCATTCGGTCATTTGGGGCTGTAGTAGTGCTACTTAGCTTTTGGTGAACAGCTTTTTTACAAATGTTACAAACTGCAATATTTTTGACAGGTTTGGTGGCATGTAATTTGAAGAGCAAAGAAAAATTCATCCAAACTTTTGACTTGCCTACACCAGTAGTTTTTGCTTTCAAAAGAACAGAACCACTGGAAAGTTGTTCATTTAAATATGCATTAAGTTCAATGACTTCATCTGAAGTCTCATAGATCTCTTTTATAACATGCGCCATTTTGTATTTTTGTGTAATAAGTTCTCGAAAATGTGTAACTCACTGATCTCAAAATATAACTGGATAGCGTATACGGCAAATTTTTTGAAGCCAGTTTTGGCCTCCCAAGATGGCGGCGTGTTTAGTTGATTACAAAATGAAAAAATTTGGTTACGAACTTTTATATCTTTTTCAAATGAAAATAAATGTATAAGCCTCAAATGCAAATACAATTTTCGATTTTACATAGCAAATATTTTAACAAGAAACGCAATATTTCATATTTACGTTTATTACTAAAATATATATGATATTTTATTTAACAAAATATACTCTAAATAATTAGTTTGTATAATATCTTTCTTTTTTATATAAAAATTATTTAATTAAATAAGGAAAATTAAATTAAATAAAAAAAAAAATTTTAGTTAAATAATTAAAAATTAGTTTATTTAACATAAGTAAGAACGTACTAGAAACTAGTATTATATAGGTACGTGTGTAAAAATTTCAAACCATTTGTTTATATAAGTATTATATATGGTACGAAAGAGTTTTGAATTTGAAATTCAATGGTAAAAATTTTATGAAAAAAGAATAATTACAAAAAATGTTATGACCATTTAAGTATCATAAGTAAATAATGTTATGACATTTTTTCTTATGAAGGATTGCTTAAAAAAAATGCAACCATCGTATAAAACTCGCGTTCGGCTAACGGTAGCTTAGTAATAAAACTTCATAGTTAATTTGCGCATAGTTTTGCTTTAGAAAAAATGTGCAAAACGATTTGATAACGTTATTAAAAAAATTTCGAACTAAAATAACAAAATATTTTTAATCCTTAAAACCTAATAATAAAATTTATAAAAAGTTCCATATATGTATATAAAAAAAAAAATAGAAATATCGCGTATTTACAATATTATATATATATATATATATATATATATATATATATATATATATATATATATATATATATATATATATATATATATATATATATATATATATATATATATATATATATATATATATATATATATATATATATATATATATATATATATATATACATATATATATATATATATATATATATATATATATATTTATATATATATAAATTTGTTATTAAATATGTATCAAGTCTAAATTTTCTATAGCGTATAGTTAAACTTTAAAGACATTCATAGCCTTTCCGCCCTTTATTTAGCTATATTTTTATCGTTACTAATGAATTTCAATTACTTTGGACAAAAGTTTAGATTTAATAAAAGTTAATGGAAATTTTATTATGTCATTATATAAAGATATATATATAAATATATATCATAGGCAAAAGCGTGACATTTTAGTAGGGGCTAAAGCACAAACAAAAAAAAATCATAATATACATAATAGTAGTTGAAATATTTTTCAACTTAAAGCCTTCTTAAAAAAGGATACTACTAAACAATAAGGGGGGGGGGGGGAAGGGAGGTCATGCCCACCACGGCTCCCCTTTTTGTTTCCTTCCGCGGGCCCATATACATATCTATCTATCTAACAATATATAAATTCTAACAAACTGCAAAAAATACAAATATTTTTTTTTAAACATACTTTTTTAACAATAAATTTACACTATAATAGTTTTTTTGTAATGTTTTTAACAGAATTGTGGCTTTGAAAAAAGCCTAGTTTTTGAAGTAAATAAAACTGTGACATCCATAGAAAAAGTCGAATCTTTAGTACGCGATTGAAACCACATATAATGATATCTAAAATAAAATAAACCTTTTAATTAATACACCCATACCTATTTAATTAGGATACCCTATGTGTCCCGGATAATAAATAAATATATAACTGTTATCACAGAAAAATAAAAATACATTAGATATTTAGCACAATAACTGAAAAACACATAATAAATCTCTAAATAAATATGATCTAACCGATTTACCGATTTAATATTAAAATGAAGAAGATCAACAAACAATAAAGCAAGCGTGTAGTACTCATCACGTTGTGTAACCTTGCAATTATAGATAAGATAAAATATATATAAGATATATATAATTAAAAAAAAAATTAAAAATATTAAGACTTACAAGCAATTACTGTATAATAAATTAACATTTAACTGTTAATTACTGCAAAATAAATTAATATCTAACTATATTAACATCTTACTGAATTGTTAAATATAATCTTGAGGACTTTAAGACAGTAGCAAATTGCAATCTTTTAGCATGCTATTAGTTAAAACCTTGCAATAACAGATAAATAAAAATACATTAGATATTTAACATAATAACTGTAAAACCCATTACAAAATAGAGAAGAGGAGAATGATTTCCTATATAAAAAACAAAAAACAAAATCACCTAACTCTTGATACACAACACATTTTACCATTACAAAACAGAAAAAACATTAAAAGTTGATCCTTCAATACTGTACAAAAAAGAAAAAGACACCTGTTTCAAATGTAAAGTCTTGAAACAAACCATTTTGCAGACATTCACATAATGTCAAGCCAGAACACAAAAATATCTTCAATATGTAATAATTATAGATCAAAATACCACATGTGTGAAAAAGCATATGTATTCTGTTCCCTCTATAGCGTGGTAGAAATCTTCCGGGCAACTCGCGTTGGTCCAAAAAGAATCCAAAACCCTTTGGATCACTTATGAATAACATAAAGAAAGTTAGTTGGCAATTGCAAGGAGAATGTGAAATAAAACATGCAATAGTTATAATATTTATTCAATTAAAAACAACTTTATTCACAAACCTACACTATATTAAAGTAAAAGAATTATAAGTACCTTTTGCATCCTTGTAGCAAAGTTTGTATTGCAGAATTGTGCAGAAAATGAATTGTGTAGTGAATGAAACCAGGAACTTAACACACAAGCATGTCGTATATAAGTGTTCTAATATCTGCTAAGTAGTATTTTTGAGTTTTGGTGTTTTGTGTTACTTGCTGAATTTTCTCCAACTCTTCCAGTAAAATCAATATCAATGTTATTTTGCAGTACAAGAATTGCATAATTTTTGTCAGCAAGTTGTTGGCATAAAATTGCCTTTTAATAAGAAAACTTGGTTTCGTTGAATGTTAACTGTTGTTTCAAACAAAATAAATAAATCTCTTTCTTATAACCTTTTTCTGGAACTTAACTAGTCAGCTCTCTAACTGTATAGTGGTTCACGAGAAGAGGTTTCTATAGCAGGACCAGATAAAAGAGATAAGTGACCACTGTTTGATACAGATAAAACACTGATTTTTTGAAAGGGAAATGAAGAACATATAGCAATGTGAATTGAGGTTGCAATTGATTGCAATGTTTGTGCCATAGCAGATGTTATTATTTGGTATGCACAGAGCATGTTGCAGATGTCAGTAAATTGTTTTGAATCTCGTGAAAAATGGTTTACAAAGTTTTTTTTATGTTTTAATTAGTTGCAGAATCTAATTAGTACAAACTTTGATGTTAAAATACTTATTGATTACTTCTACAGTTACTTTATATGAATCCTTGTTAGTTGCTAATATATGCAGTAGGCGTCCATTGCTACAACCAATATTTAAATGAGCTGGTAGTGTAAAATTACCATCAAGTAGAAATGTTTTCTTTTTAGGTCCCACGATGCACTAAATCAAACAATTATAATACAACTATTTAATTGGGTTGGCTTTTAAACACAATTAACTAATTTAAAAAATCACTATTAACCTATAAAAAAATGTGTAGATACATTTATTATTATTCGCATAGATAAAACATGTATATAATTTTTATGTATCATAAGGCTTAAGGTGGTTATATGGTAAATTCTGGGTATGGAAAAAAGCTGAGAAAATGCTGTTTTTGTTTTTAATATTTTTTTTTTGCATTTTATGCTGAATCCCCATATAAAAGTGTCATTTAATTTTTATTTCACCATATTAAATTATCTTTAGCAGAACTTTGCCTTCAAGGCAAAGTTCTGCCAAAGATAATTTAAATTACTTACTCTTTTCACACACTGAAATTAGTTTCAAGGCAGCCTTGAAACTGATTTTGGTGTGTGAAAAGAGTAAGCAATAAAAAATATATACAATAAATAACACAATAAACGATTATACAATTATTTAAAAAAATCAACAGTATTCTTAGTAATAAAAGACTATTTTAAAAAAGTAAAACTTTTTAACAAAAGTTTTTATAAAATATTTCATTATTATGAATAGAAAAACAAGTATACTGAATGCTCACTGGCTAACACCGGTGAATTGCCCCCCCCCCCGCCTTAAACTGGAAATACATGGAAATACCGCCTTAAACTGGAAATAACCGCCTTAAAGTGGAAATACATACACTCCACTGCACGATAAAATAGGGTGTCTGGGCATAAATATTTTTTAATTAAATTTGGCACGCACATAAAAAATAGATTTATACTATTGATTGGAAAATTTTAAAAGTGTAGCAACATGCCTTCAACATTAAATCACCTCCAGAACAGAAACGAAATTTTAAAACTTTATAAAAATCACTGGTAAATGTAAAAAAAACAACGGAAAAGCCAGATACGCACGTACCTATATTATACCTAGAACCTAATAGTTAACTATTAGGTTCCACTAATGTATATAACTAGTTATAACCTATCAGTAGAAGTAAAAAACAAATAAAAACCTAGTACTTATCTAATTTAAAAGTTTCCATACAACTTTAAATGTAAAAAATTGAAACAATTTTATTTTTTATTTATAATCATTATAAATAAAAAATAAAATTATTTCAATTTTTTTCACAGCATTATAATATAATGCTGTGTGCTAGAAGGTTAACCCACAACTGCATGGTAGGTCAATGCTGTGTGCTAGAAGGTTAACCACAACTGCATGGTAGGCCAATGCAACCCAATGCTGTGTGCTAGAAGGTTAATAACACAACTGCATGGTAGGCAGCTGAATATCTTTTTAAAATAAACTATTATAAATTAGTTTTTCAAATAGATATCACAACTTTACAAATGCTGCATGAACTATTAGCTGAGCTCTGTAAGTACACACAACTCAGAGGTTCCTTCTAGAATTTTATATATATATATATATATATATATATATATATATATATATATATATATATATATATATATATATATGTATATATATATATATATATATATATATATATATATATATATATATATATATATATATATATATATATATATATATATATATATGTTTAATACAGATAACTTTATTTTAATGTCATTTTAGCTATGTATCTAAAAATATGAGATCAATGCTTTTTTGAATGCTGCAATTTGGAATATCTGCATAATCGTGGTCACTATTAGTTGGTTTACTCGTCACCAGATCATACTTTCTTATTAAATCAATCTCAGTCAGATATTTTAGTACTGGAGTGAGCAAAAGAAAAAGAATCTAAAGCTTTTAAAATATGAATTTAATATCTCTGATGCTGCAGTTTCCATTTGGTTATACGTGGCACTGAGTTGTTAGCATTTGATATTGTTGTTAAACATTCTTGCAGATCGCTTAGCTAAATAAGATCTCACAACACAATAAAGATCTTTTTAGATGGTTTTGACTGAGTTTAAATTTTAAATGATTTTATGGTGAACTTTCTTTTTCTTCTCAGTCGAGATATATATTTTAAACAGATTTAACTGCTACCAAATATCTAATGAAATCAGTTTTTAGACTTTACAAGATTATTTGCGTATCAATTAATCTCTTTAAGACTAAATAATGATATAATTATATGCCATGTCAAGAAATGGAAAACAAAGAGTCTTGTTACATACACACATTGCTGACTTGTATCCATTAGCAAATAGGTTTCTTGAATTTAATATGTCATGTTATCAATCTTTTATGAGAATAAACTCATCGGCTTTCATATAAAATTATTTAACTGCAACATACAGTTAAATAATATAAAAAAGTCAGCAAACTATAACATATATCCGTAATTTTTAACAGCAGGTAAACAATATATATAACTTTAAATAAAGAGATATTTCAAAGAGGTGTTTTCAATATTTGTATATTAAAAATTTAATAAATACATTTATTTCAAACAAATGTATTTTTACATGCATTTTCATCACCGATTGTACTGAGTGACTAACCTTTAAGTTGTAAGATAAGATTATTTACTTTTTATTTGTTTTAAAAGTTATTATAAATAACTATAATTCAGACCTGGGTTTTTTTTACCAATATAAGTGACACTTTAAAATATTTTAATCATGGTTTATGCAATAATAGCATTTAAGTATAATATAAGTCTAGAAGAAGCCCCTGAGTTTTTGTGTACTTACAGCACTCAGTTAATAGTTCATGCAGCATTTGTACAATTTGTTTCTTGCTTAAAAAATATAAGTATAAAGTTGTAGGTAGACAAGATTGCTGCTGTTTACCATGCTGTAATGAATGGTAAACAGCAGAAATTATTAACCTTCTAGCATACGACATTGGGTGCTTATTCTTAGTTATAGCCTTCTTAGTTAGAACTAAAAGGCACATAAATTATACATAAAACTGAAGATTCACTGATTCCATTTAATAATAAATTCAATTATTTAAAAAAATATTTTTTTTTATCTCTAATAATTAAAAAATTCATTTGTTTGTTGTTTTTTTTGTTATTTTTTTACGAATGTATTAGTCATATTTCATTATTTTCTTATGTATTTTAATAAAGTAAAAAAGAATGTAAATCGGTTTCACCGCTAGAAACAAAAATCGCCGCCATCTTTAGAGGTCAATTTTGGCTTTAACTTTTTTTGGAAAAAACAATAGAATCCGCTATTTGAGATCAGTGGTGTAATGTAATAGAATATCACCGCACCTTAGAATATCACCGCACCAGTAGTAATAATGAAAACGAGGATGCGTTTTAAAGTAATAGAACTTAGTAGAGTACCGAATATGTCCGAATAATACAAGAACGATAAAAAAACGCTGTTTTTTAACAATATCTAGTATGTTAGTTTTTTAACAAAATACATTGGTGAATTGATATTCTAAACATGTAATAGTGTATTTTCTAGTTTTATTAAGGTGATGCAATATTTTAACATTCTAAGCACTATCTAGTATGTTGTTTTTTAACAAAATACATGGGTAATGTAATACTGTAAACATGTAATAGTGTATTTTTTAGTTTTATTAAGGTGATGCGATATTGTAACATTCTAAGCACTATCTAGTAAGTTGTTTATTAACAAAATACATGGTTGATGTAATATTCTAAACATGTAATAGTGTATTTTCTAGTTTTATTAAGGTGATGTGATATTCTAACTTTCTAAGCACTATCCAGTATGTTGTTTTTCAACAAAATACATTGGTGATGTAATATTCTAAACTTCAAATAGTGTATATTTTAATTTTATTAAGGTGATGTGATATTCTAACATTCTAAGCACAATCTAGTTTGTTCTTTTTTAACAAAATACATGGGTGATGTGATATTCTAAACATGTAATAGTGTTTTTTCTAGTTTTATTAAGGTAATGTAATATTCTAACATTCTAAGCACTATCCAGTATGTTGTTTTTTAACAAAATACATGGGTGATGTAATATTCTAAACATATAATACTTATAGCATGCCATATATTTCTTAATTTATTTAAGGCAATGTGATATTCTAAGCATTAAATACAAATAATTTTTATAACATTAATGAACAATATACATGGGGGATGTGATATTCAAAATATTTGTTTCTTATAGTGTGTAATATATTTCCTAATTATAATAAGGAAATATCATATTCTAAGTTTTTAAACTAATTAGTATGATATTTATAAACAAAGTACATGGGGGATTTGATATTGTTAACATACAGTGATAGTTAGTGATATACTTCTTAATTAATTTGCTGGATGTGATGTTTTATAGTTCATAGCAGAAAATACAAATAATTTTTATGTCATATATAAACAATACATATGTGGGGTGTGACGTTTTAAGTAATGTAAAACTGTTAGTTGACAATAGATTTCTTATTTACATCTAAGATTCAAAGCAGCAAATAAGACTAACTATGAAATTTTTAAACAATATACATTGGAATTGTGGTATTTTATATATATAACATATATAACACTGGTAGTACATAAGAGGGTACGACATTCTAAACATATTAATAGTTAGTGGTATAATTCTTAGTTAAACTAATGGAGTGTAATATTCTAAGCAGCAAATTTGACTATGACATTTATAAACAATATACATAGGGGATGTGTGTCTAAACATAATACTATAATATGCGTTATATCTCTTAATTTTATTATGAGAGGAGATTTATTAGGATAGTATTCTAAGATGCTACTCTAAGAGATTTATTAGAATAATATTCTTTTTTTAGGTTTCTTCTTGTTGTCCCTGGCCACTAGCATTATGTTTTGTTGCATGTTATCAGACTTGTATGGTCACTACTTTTGAAGCCTTTCTGACTGAACAATACCCAGCTGTTTGTCATCAATGCCATCTATATCATGTGAGTAACACTGACTGCTATCACTTTTAAAAAAAACAGTTAGTTAAAGTCTTCTTCAATCTGTTTCACTCGTAAG